TTAAATGAGAGGACATATTGAGTAGCTAGGTAAGTCAGCAATTTAGTTAGACCCTGTCTCTAAAAAAATCTGTTACCAAATCTGTAAAAAAGGAAACCAACAAAAGCATTCATGCTTAATGGCCTTCTATCTCCCCTCCTTGACAATCTCTCCTGGTTCTCATCTGCATTTTTCTTCCTGTGACATACTCCATACTCTCTGAATTAGCACATATTGTTCCCTCTGCCTGCAATGCTCTTCCCATCCCCTTTATCAGGCTAACTCTCATTTCTTCCTGAAAGTCTTTACTGACCCCGTGTCGACTTGTTTGGACCACCCTGTTATGCATTTCCCAAACATCCTAAACTCCTCTATCATATTATTACTAGGACTTGAGGGTTTTTTCAATTTAAGAAAAAAAATCTAAAATCCAGATAAGGAACTGCTTGACCTATTTGCTTCAACTGGATTGTTTAAATAGAACTTTCCAAATAAACTTGAGTAGTTGAAGTTGTCCTTCTCCAATTCCTTTCCTCTCTCCCCAGATATAACAATTCTTATGTGCTTGATGTGTATCTTTTGAGACATGTTTTAAAACTTGTCACACCTAATATACCCATAAGAATATGAAACATACTTTCATATGTATGTTTATAGTTAACACAAATTATAACCTTATAAAATATATCATTCTGAAACTTTTATCCACTGAACAATAAGTTTGGGGGACATCTGAATCATTTTAATCACTGTATAGTATTTAAAATTTTTTTTTTAGTTGTAGACAGACAGAATACCTTTATTGTATTATTTATTTATTTTTATGTGGTGCTGAGAATTGAACTCAGTGCCCTACAATGCTATATTTTATTATTAGAATATACCCCATTTTATTCATCTACCATCCTCCCAATGGACATTTAGATTGTGTGTAATAGTTTCCACCATTATAAAGAAAGTTGCAAAGGAGATTTCTGTTCCCTGAAGTTTGTAGTTCTTTAGGTAGCACACAAATGCGTGCACACACATGCACATACACATATACATACACACTTTGTGGGGATTTTGTGTATCTTCTTTTCCTTAGCATAATGCTTTTGAGGTTCATTCATGTATCAACATTAGTAGTTCAAATATCAGGAGCTGGAGTTGTGGCTCAGAGGTAGAGCCCTCGCCTGGCATACATGAGGCACTGGGTTCAATCCTCAACAGTACATAATAATAAAATATTGTGTCCACCTATAACTAAAAAATAAATATTTAAAATAATGGTCCAAATATCAGCATGTATCAATACTTCATTCTTTTATTCTTCTTTATGGCTGAATAGTATTCTATTATATGAATGTACTGCAACTTGTTGGACATTTGTAATATTTCCGCTAATTTAAAAAAATTTTAATTGTTGATGAACCTTTGTTTTATGTATTTTTATGGGGTGCTGAGGATCGAAGCCAGTGCATCACACAGGCTAGGCGAGCGCTCTGACACGGAGCTGCAACCCCAGCCCCCACTTTTTCATTATTAACAATGCTGCTAGGAACATGTGGGCATAAATGTTTGAATACCTATTTTCAGTTCTTTGGGGGTCTATACCTCAGGTTTCTTGTGCTTTGTTTCATAGTTTGTCACTATTCATTGAGTTAATGTGTCTTGTTTATTCACTCACTGAGCAGTGTTGGCCACGAGCTACGCTATGGGAATGCAGTGGCAAATAAATAAAACTCTTTTTTTTTTTTTCTTTTTTGATGCTCATGTCGGGGAGATATTGAGGACTCAAAGGAGTCTGCCTAGAGAAGCGGGTGGTCAGAGAAGACTTTCCTGAGATCAAATGCAAGCTGAGGCCTGGGCAGAGGGAATGAAAAGAGGCACCAGAAAAAAGAACACCAAGATGAACAGAGATAAGTGTGAATCCAGGAGTGTGGGAGGGGGGCCAGGGGTCAAACCAGTAACTGAAGGAAGGGAGGAGACTGGAATGGGAAGAGCAGCGGCAAAGAGTTGGAAGGATGAGGCTGCTAAGTCCTCAGACCCTGGATCAGTAAAAGCCTTACTGAAGCGGGGCTCGGTGGCCCACGCCTGTAATCCCCGCGGTTCAGGAGGCTGAGGCAGTAGGATGACGAGTTCACAGCCAGCCTCCGCAATTTAGCGACGCCCTCAGCAACTCAGCAAGACCCTGTCTCTAAATAAAATACAAAAAAGAGCTGGGGTTGTGGCTCGGTGGCTGAGTGCTCCTGGACTCAATCCCCAGTACAAAAAGTCTTGCCAATCAGGATGAGGATTTCCATCTAAGGGCCATGGGGAGCCAGGGAAGGTTGTACACAAGCCGGGGAGAGCATGGCTGAATCTGGATGGCCAGAGGGATAATTGGTCAGGAGGCTGCTGCAGGTGTCGAGGGAAGTTCTGGCATAATGCTTAAAAATTAGAAGGTGACTGAAAGAGCAGAGGGGACTGGTGACGTTACCAACTGACCGGGTGACTTAGTGGTCGTTGAGTAAGGAAGCAGTCCCATTGCATTTATCAAAAAGTGACAACTTCTCAGAAGCAGCATTTTTGGATCAAGGAAGCTTGGCTGGAGGCGGCGCTGGGCAGTAAGTGCCCGCGGTGGGCAGCCCCCTCCTCTGGCCGGGTGTGCCCAGGGTCGCAGAAAAGTGGGACTGGGAGGGAAAGGTCGAGAAGGCCGAGGACCTGGGTGCAGGACGCCCTGGGAGCTGGGCACTCCACCGCGAGGCGCGCCTTTGGCTCGTCCAATCAGAGCGGCGGATCCGGGCGTCCCTTCGTCGCCTTGGCAACGGGACGCGCAGGCTCTAGCCGGACGTAGTGGCGGCTTGGATCTGGCCCTGGGGAATTGCGTCATGTCGCGACCGAAGGTAGGAGTGGCACCGGGCCAGAGGCTTTCGTCGTCCTCCGAGAGAGGGAGGGAAGCCACGGGGCTCAGAGCCCGGGGGCGGGTCATCGCGGGGCGTTGCGACCCGGGAAGGAAAGGTCCAAACGGGACCGAAGGCTACGAGGCCCGACGGCTGCTCGCAGACCCTCTGGCGGGAAAGTTACAGGACCGGGTTCTAAGCTGTACCAAGATTGCTGTTTAGGAGGCTGAGGCAGGAGGATCTCACGCTGAGGACAGCCTCAGCAGCTTAGCGAGGCCCTAAGCAATTTAGTTAGACCATGTTCTAAAAAATATGAAGGGCTGGGGAAGCGGCTCAGCGCCCCTGGTTCGATCCTTGTTACAAAACAAAAAACGAACAAATAAAAATAAGCATTCTGGGACCCCGTGGGAAGCTCAAGTTCCCCGTGGCCCATTAAAACAAACTAACACCAGTAAAACTCTAATTAGCGTCTTTTCCAAGCCGAGCCCAGCCCTGACCAAGGGGCACAGAGGTGAATCAGGCAAAACCCTGCTCTCCAAGACCCACCAGCCAACTCCCATTTTAAGACGAGGAAAGATGAGGCGCAAAAAAGGGAGATGAATTACTGTGGAGTCCAGCCCCTCTGCCCCAGCCTGCTTCTTATCTCAGGTTCCAACCTCTCAAGAATGGCATCTCCATTTCTTTTAATTCCCTTTCACAACAAAAAACAACTTTATCTGCTTTCAGAGTGTCGTGAACGTCGCCTTTTTTGTCAGGAGTCATAATTCCTGTTGCTGGTTATTCGAGGTCCATGTTCCCTGCCTTAACCCCGGCTCCGGCAGGGAGCAGACATATGATGATCACTGTTGATCACGGCTACTGGTGGAGGACGCGCTAGCTGCTCAGGACAAACACCCGGGCTCTGTCTTGACTCCTCCCCATTCACCTCCCACATCCAAGAAGGTCCCCCCTATTTTTGGTGTTTGGATCAAATCCAGGGCCTCTTGCCTGGATTTAAGTTAAGGCTTCTTTCTTTAACTTTCGGAAGAAGCCTTAAATTAAATCCAGGCAAGAGGCCTGGTATAGGACTATGCTTTCTTTTAAATGACCCAGGAAATTGGGTATATGAACTTCTTAAGAGAGAAGGACAGAATAAATTGTGTGTACCTTCACAAAAATGTGCAAGACTTCTCTACTAAAAACTAGAAACCATTGAGAAAAAAATAAAGAAGACTTAAATTGATGGGGGAGGGAGGGAGGGAGGGAGGGAGGGAGGGAGAGAGAGAGAGAGAGAGAGAGAGAGAGAGAGAGAGAGAGAGAGAACAAACACATTTTATGGATTAGAAGAGTCAATGCTTTATGATGCCATTTCTTCCCCAAATGATCTTAGAGTCAATGTGCTCCTCATCAAAATTCCAGCATGTCTTTTAGTAGAAACCAGCAAGTTGATTCTAAAATTTGTACTGCTGGGTTGAGTATAACTCAGTGGTACAGCACACACTTAGCCATGCTTAGCTGGCTTCTATTCCCAGCTCCAAAAATAAATAAATAAATAAATAAATAATTAAACAAACAAACAAATAAATAGATAAATAGATAGAAGAATTTATATCCAAGATCAAATGGCACCTCATTGCAAAGACAATGTTAAAAATCAAAGCCAGAGGACTTACACTGCCTGATTTCACGATTTACTAGAAAACGACAGTACTTAAGAACATGTGATGGTGGCATAGGAATAGACAAGTATATAGAGCCCAGTATAGTCCAAAGGCAGACCCACATGGTCATGGTCGACTGAATTTTGACAAACATGCCGGTGCAATTTGGTAAGGAAAGGAAACGATTTGCAACCAAGGACTCTGGAGCAACTGGATAAACCCATGAAAAGTGGAATTGAAAAGAGAGAGAGTTAAGGAGGGGAGGAGTAGGGGGGATAGGAAGGGCAGCAGAATAGAATAGACATTATGATTGATGTATGTACAATCCATGTATGTATTATATGTCAAAATACATTCTGCTGTCATGTATGACTAAAAAAAATAAAAATAAATCGTATGGTACAAAAAAAGAGAGAGGATTAAAGATCTAATTTTCAAAAAGATATGTAGGGTGAGCTGACTAGTGCCGGGGGAGTAGGCAGGGCTTGGGTGGGGGAAGGATATGATTTCATTTTCTTTTGCGGGGGAATTAACTACTGATTTTGGAAAGCGCTATCTCGCGTCCCTTTCCATGGGCTCTTTGAGGGGTATGATAATGTGGTAAGCAGAATTCTGAGATGGCCCCCAAGGTCCCCACGCCTGGTGTACATGCCATGCATAATTCCCTCCCCTTGGATGTGGGTGAATTTGATGGCATCGCTGTTGTCATGATGACATTATGTTATATGAAACCATCATAGCTGACTTGGAGGGCAGTGGGTTGGAAGTCCAAGGGACATGCTAAGGGTGGCATTCAGGAAGAACACCCATGTGGTGAACTGCCTATGGAGCCACTTTGCAAGGAACAGTAAGCAGCCCCTAGACACTGGGGGCAGTCCCCAGTGGGCAGCAGTCCTACAGTCCCAAGCAACCAAATTCTGCCAACATGTGAATGAGCTTGAAGATGAGCCCCGATGAGAACCAAAACTCCAGCCATCACCTTGAACGCAGCCTTAGGAGACAAGGGCAGATATTCCGGCTAAGCTGTGCACATACTCCCAACGCACAGAAACCATGAGATAGTGAATGTACATTATTTTAAACCACTCAATTTATGGCAATTTATTACCCAGTCGCTGAAAATGAATGCGGATCACAGCTCTGTCCCAACTGTAAAGGTCAGCTGCACGGGGCCAATATCAGTTTCTCTTTCACACATGCCTTAGGGATCAGTCTTACCAGGACTCGGGGGACAAGCTGTTTTGGATATGGTTGGAGCTGAAATACACCCCTCTCCCCCAGCCACACACACATTGAGGATTTGAAAGGTCTGTTTTGGGTGAAAAGAATTCATGTTGCTGAGTCTGACACAGCCCTTTCCTGGATTCTAGGTCCAATCAAACATGCAAAGTTAATTTTTTTTATTTTTTAGAGCTGGGTATCAAACTCAGTGCTCCACATGTGCTTAGCAGGCACTCTACCGCTGAGACACATCCCCCAATTAGGACAGACGCAGAGCCTGATAAACTGAGCTCTCAAAACTGGGGTTCAGGGTCGAACTTTGGAGCACCAATAAAATGGGCATGCACTCTGCGGGTGTTGCTCATGGAACTAGCCTCCAGTGCAGTGGGCTGCTTGGGAACTCACCCTAAGGGTAGCAGGTACGTTCTGCACTGATTTTCTGGGCACCTGATGGTGGATTAGAACCTGACCAGGTTGCACCTTCCTGTCTTGGGACGGAGGCATGGTTGAGTGTGGGCTGGGAAGGCAGGTGGACGTACAAAACCAGTGACATCATTTTCCTTTTCTCCTTACAGAATCAAAATTACAAGGGCCATGGATTTTCAAAAGGAAAAGAGCGGTGAGTGGTCCCTCTCCGTCCAATTATTGGAACTAATTTCCTTCCCTTCCTCCTTCCTCCCTTCCCTTCCCTTCCCTCTCCTCTTCCCTTCCATATCACTGGGAACAGAATTCTAGGTTGACTTTTTTTTCTTTACATACTTGAAAGATGACATTCCCTTGTCTTCAGACTGACATTATTTCTTAGAAGTCAGAAGTCAGTCTCTGTCTCCCCACTCCACCCCTGACAGTAACTCTTCCTGGCCTCCAGCAACCTGACTGTGCTTTACCTTGGTATGTTTTTTTTATTCTGGGTGTGGGTACCAGGCGCTTAACAACTGAGCCACCTTCCCAGCCCTTTTTTGTGTTTTATTTAGAGACAGGGTCTCACTAGGTTGCTTACAGCCTCACTAAATTGCTGAGGCTGGCTTTGAACTTGTGATCCTCCTGCCTCAGCCTCCTGAGCCGCTGGGATGACAGGCCTGTGCTAGCACATCCAGCTTTTTTGCCTGACTTTAATAGCAGGTGAACACTAAATTCACAAAGTAAATTTGGAAGCTCTCCCCCTTCTTCCCTTTTGTGGAAGAGACTGAGTGGAAGTGGGGTTAATGTTTCTTTAAATGTTTGGGGGAATTCTCCAGTGAAACCATCTGGTCCTGAAGATGTCTTTTTTAGGAGTTTTAAAATTATGTATTCTATTTCCTCGATAGTCACAGAGCTATTTAAATGACCTGTCTCACATTAGGTGTGTATGGTGCCGAGTGCTTTCCGGGGCTCACCCTGTGTGGGTCATCACAAGCAGGTGTGTGGGGGCCTTGGCCTGCTCCTAAGTGTACTTTTCCCATCAGCAGGGCCTGTGTCGCTCCTTCCTAGGTAATTGTATCTTCTCTCTCTCTCTCTCTCTCTCTCTCTCTCTCTCTCTCTTGTCATCTTGCTGACTAATGGTTTTGTTGATTTGATCTTTCCCAAGAATTAGCCTTTTATTTTATTGATTTTTTTTCCTGTTTTCAATTGTATTGATCCCTCCCTCTCCACCAGGCCTCCTATGACATCACCCCAGAGCGAGAGGGCAGCTGGTCACTGAGGAGTGGGAGCGGAGGTCCAGGCTCTCCACGGGGTCTCCCGGGCGGGGAGGAAGCCCCAGCCTTATCCTGGGCCTTCTCTGACACCACCGGGGCAGGGGCATGGCTTCTAGACTCCCTGGCCTTTGCTGGCACAAGTCGGGGACGCAGGTGTTTTCTGCAGGCTTTGGCTGACGGAGCACTTGTTCTCTGCCCTGCGTCCTGCTGGGGGGCTCTGCTCTTGTGGCTAAAGAGAGCAGGCTTCTGCCGGGGCTTTATTTAGGTCTGTGCCCATTGGCATGTCTGGGTGGCCATTGGCTGGGGCTTTTTTTTTTTTCTTAGTTACAGGTGGACACAATACCTTTATTTTGTGTATTTATCCTTATGTGCTGCTGAGGATGGAACCCAAGGCCTCACCCATGCCAGGCAGCGCTCCACCGCTCAGCCCCAGCCCCAGGCCTTGGCTGGCTTTTTTATCTCCGCACCTGGGATATGGAAGCCCAAAGAAAACCCAGGGAATTCACCACCATATGTTTGTTTTACACAGAACGTACTGGGTTTCGGTGCCCTCGTAGGAGGAATAGGGGAAATGACATCTGCTCCATCTTCCCAGATGGATGTCTGGAAGGAGACTGTGTGCACGTGTGGCAGGGAGTGTGAGAGCTAGTCATGGTGCACGTGGAGCAGCCCGGTCGTGCCCAGCACATAGTAGGCTCTGGACAAAACGCTTGCTGTTTTTTTTTTTTTTCAAGTATCACAATGTTTATTGATAGATACAAGTATATAAAATCAGGGCATGAACATGACTTGATAAATTAAGTAGACTTAATTTCAATACTATAATAAGAGGGACCAATTCAAATTCTCACCATTTGTTTCACACCCACAAAAACCACTTCAAGGGCATTAACGATCTCTCAAAACTGATCAGTTTGTGCAAGTAAACCATGTTTCTTTTAAAAAGACTTGTGCACTTGCCCAGGCTCAAGGATATTAAAATCTACCACATAAAGCCCATTACTAGAGGTAGAAATACAGGCAATATACTATTACGGCAACAACCATCAATTACAGTTAAGAATTTTTCTGTAACAACCAAATGGATAATCAAATATTGCAACAACTCAAGTATTACTGAGCAAAGTGCATTTCTACAGTATTCAGTGTTGCTATTCAGTTTTCTAACTTAAAACAGCCTATGATAACTGGCACGCTTGCTGTTTTTTGATGATTCAAAGTTTCTGTATTGCTCAATTTGATTATTTCAGGGATTGTCATGCTCTGATGCTAAACTCTGAAATTCGGGGATCCTGTTTTCGGCATTTCTAGCTGTGGCTTTGATCTTTCTTCCTTCCCCTTTATCCTATCCCTGGAGCGTCCTAGGAAAGTTGGATTCCAGCAAGTGTTCTGTTGCCTTGTCTTGCAGAGAACAGAGAGCATTGATCCGGTTCAAGACTACCCTTATGAACACTCTGATGGACGTCCTGCGCCACAGGCCGGGATGGGTGGAAGTGAAAGAGTAAGACCCCCTCCCTCTCCTCACCCCCTCCCTCTTTTCACCCCCTCCCTCTCCTCACCCCCTCCCTCTTTTCACCCCCTCCCTCTCCTCACCCCCTCCCTCTTTTCACCCCCATCCCTGCCTGCCTTGGTTTTTCTCCCAGCCCCCCAGCCAAGTAGCCACTAGGACTTGCCCTAAAGTAGCACTGACATTTATTTAGCACCCACACTGTGGTGGCCAAATCACTCACACCGTCTCTGTCTCTAATTTAAGCCTTACAACCATCCAATCAGGTATGGCAGTGTTCAGGGGTGTTAAGCCAACTGCTTAAGGTCACACAGCACGTAGGTGCCCAGTCTATTTGACTGATGCCGGGGGTGTCCTGTGGCCTCCGGAGAAACAGAGGGATGCTGGCAGCACAGACCTGCTGGCTTGAGTCCTCCCGGGATGGGCCCAGGTCAAGGACTAACCTAGCTGGTCACTTACTAGTTCTGTGGCCTAGAACAAGTGACTTGACCTGTAGGCCTACGTTTCTGCCTTGGTGCTGGGCCCTGGGGCTGCCGAGGGAGGAAAACAAATATACGACCCCCAGCTGCGTGAGGGAGGGATAAGGTTGGCATGCCTGTGCCAGGGACCTGAAGCAAAGAGGCTCTGATGGGCTAGAAGCCCGTCTATCTGCCCCTCGACCCTCCACTGAGGTCCGTAAATAAGAAATTCCGGGATGGCGAGGAGGCTGAGAGAAATGAGGGGCCTAGCTAGTTCCGGCTCTTTGTTTTGCTTTGCCTTGAGCAAGTCCCTGGTCCTCATGGTGCCAAGTGGAGCTCCAGCCCACCTTCACATTCCATACAGCAGGAGGCTGGAAGGAGGCAGGGAAGCCATGCCAGCCAGGCACAGAGGCGCTCGCCTGTAACCCCAGCAACTCGGGAGGGGAGGTTGAGGCAGGAGGATCGCAAGTTCGAGGTCAGCCTCGGCAACTTAATAAGACCCTCAACAACTTAATGAGGCCCTGTCACAAAATAAAAAATAAAAAAGGCTGAAGATATAGCTCAGGGGTAAAGCACCCCTGGGCTCAATTCTCAATACCCTCCCCCCCAAAAAAAAGGCATGCTCCTCCCTGGATGTGGCTCCGTGGTTAAGCGCCCCTGGATTTAATCCCCGGTACCAAAACAAAAAAAAGCCCTGCTAGACACTCCAGCCCTTGGCATCCGCGATCTCTTTTAGCCATCCCCCAAAATCTGGGTAGATGCTACTGTCAACCCCATTTTACCAATGAGAAACCTGGGCCCAGAGTAACAAAAATGCCATGTTTCAGAGGTCCCTCACTTGTAAGGCTAGGATTTGCAGCTGGTGTGCACATCTGCAGAGTCACAGGCTCGTCCCTGCCTCCCTCAGTAGGCTCTCAGAGAGGGAAGGAACAGATGAGAGAATGTTCCGGATCCTGGTGCTGCAGAAATTAGGAGTCTGCTGTCCGTGGCAAGCTGTGGTACAGGTTGTGAATACAGAGCACTCTCCTTGGGACTTTGGAAACCGTTACAGCAAGGATAATGACGCTGATGACGGCAGCTACTACAGATTTGCTCTCTTTGAATTTTCTTTGGGTTCTGGGGATTGAACCCAGGGCCTCCCACATGCTAAGCACACACCCTACTACTGAGCTAGACCCCCAACTCCCTTCATTTCTGTGTACTATTCCACTGTATGGACATACCATGCTTTATCTATTCATTAGTGAAGAGGCATTTGGATTGCTTCCACTTTGGGGCTAACAATGCTGCTATGAAGATGCATGTATGAACTCTGAGTGGAACATGTTTTCTTTTCTCTTGGGAGAAACTCCATCTAGAAGTAGAATTGCTAGGTCATATGGTAACTCTATGTTTAACTTTTTGATGAACTGCTGGATTCCATTTTCCATTTCCAACAGGACCTTATAAAATGTCAGTTTTTAGGCATTCTCACCAGTACTCATTGATATTTTTAAAATTTTAGCCATCCCAAGTCGGTGTGAAGTGGCATCTCATTCTGATTAGCTTTTCCCTCGTGGCCAATGATGCTTGACACATTTCATCTGCTTGTTGGCCATTTGTAAATCTTTGGAGAAATGACTATTAAAACCTATCGCACATTTAAAACCCCAGTTCTTTGTCTATTTATTGTCGAGTTGTAAGTATTCTTTATACCCTTATCAGACACATGATTTGCAAACATTTCCCCTCATTTTGTGGACTTTCTTCACTGTGACTTTTGAGGCAGAAAATTAATTTTTGACGAAGTCAAATTTATCTATTTTTTTCTTGGTTGCTTGTACTCTGGGTATCACATTTAAGAAAGCATTGCCTAATCCAAGATCACAAAATTTTACTCTTATATTTTCTTTCTTTTTTAAAAAAAACTTTTCAGTTGTAGATAGACACAATACCTTTATATATGTGGTGCTGAGAATCCAACCCAGTGCCTCACACATGCGGGGCAAGCGCTCTGCCACTGAGCCACAACCCCAGCCCTCTTATGTTTTCTTCTAGGAGTTTTTTTTTATATTTTTAACTCTTACGTGTAGGTCTTTGATTTGATTTTGTATATGGCGTGAGTTAGGAATCCAACTTTAACATTTTCAATGTAATTTTTAAACTTTTTACTTGAAATCATTTTAAACTGAAAGCTTCAAAATACAGTTGTCCCTTGGTGACCAGCGGGGATTGGTTTCAGGACACAGCTCCTTCTTTTAGCAGCTTCACCCAGTTTCCTCCGCTAGCTGCTTATGTGACCAGTACGTCTGTCCACGCCTGGAAGTGAACAGACACTATGAAGTAAGCAACGGGCATCGTTGGAATTTCACCAGTTATTTTTTACTAATTTCATTTTCTGCCTCATCATCTATCCCAGGTCCCTCATTACTTTTAATTGATCTTTATTACCACAAATATGCCCTTGATACATTCAAAGAGGACTCTTTATTTTATAGAAGGTCCCTGGGTTGGGATTTGTCTGATGTCTTCTCATCACAGGGCTGAACACCACAAAGTGATGCAGTGTCCTCCCCAGGGAACTGCATCAGGGGGCTCATGGGCCCAGCCGGTCTTACACTGGTGTTACCTGGGTCGCTAAGTTGAGGTGGTGTTTCTCCAGTGAAGAGCAGCTTTTATGGGGCGGGGGTACTGGGGATTGAACTCAGAGGCACTCGACCACTGAGCCACATCCCCACCTGTTTTGTATTTTATTTAGAGACAGGGTCTCTAAATAATTTAGCTCCTGGACATTGCTGAGGCTATGAACTTTGAACTCAGGATCCTCCTGCCTCAGCCTCCTCATCCGCTGGGATCGCAGGCATGTGCCACCACACCCGGCTGGGTAGCGTTCTTCCGTAAGGAAATAGTTTTTTTTCTCCTGCTTCTTACTTATTCAGTATTGGTCTGGCTCATTGATATCCATTATCTTGAGCAGAAATATCCACTCCTTGATCCTCTAGTAGGGAAACTGAGGCCCAGAGAAGAGGGCAAGGCCACATAGGAGTCATTGCCTGTGGCAGAACCAGAATAGGGGCTCTCTCTCCTGCATGATGTGGCCCAGTGCAAGCATCAGATGGAGAGGGACAGGGAGCTGGATGAGGCCCGGGCGGCCAGCCTGGAATGGGGCTGTCTGGTGACCAAGGGTTTGGAGGGCAGATGGCCATGTCCCCAGGGGGTTTCCATCCGCTCTGGAAGCCATTGCTCACGGCTGCTGTGTGTGCAGCAGCAGCCTGAGGGAAGCTCTGGAGGAGGCCCAGGCCCAGGTTTTCATTCATAACTCAGGATGGAATTGGAAAAGGGTGATTCCTGACTCATGTCGCTCCATCGCTGCCACCACCTGTGTCACCACCTGTGCAGGCATGTGGTGTTTGCTTAGGATTGTCCTCAAGCTGACTCACTCCTTTTACTTAAATAAAGGAACTTTCATATCGCTATGGTAGCATCTGTGGGATTATGCATTTGTCTTGCTATTGATTTATTTCCCCCCCCCCATTTGACATTAAAGCAGGGACATGGCTCTTAAACTCCTCCTGACCCCAGTACTAGGGATTGAACCCAGGGGTGCTTAACCACTTAACATATATTTTATTTAGAGACAGGGTGTTGCTAAGTTGCTTAGGGCCTTGCCAAGTTGCTGAGGTTGGCTTTGAACTCACGATCCTCCTGCCTCGGCCTCCTAAGCCAATAGGATGACAGGCATGTGCCACCACTCCGGCTCATGTTGGCATCTCTTAGAATTGCAGTGCAGTCCACCACAGAATTCTCCCACAGTTGGTCATGTTCAGGCCAAGGTCATGGGTCACCCTTCTTGTAGCTGCCTCCTTCTTGTTCAGTTTCTGCCTCAAAGTTCCCCAAGATTTTTTTTTTTTCAAAACTCAGTCCATTTGTCCATAGTAGGGAAAAAAAAAAAAAGCAGGGAGCAACTCAAACACCTCTTAGTTTGAAAATGGATACACTGTAGTGTGTTCACTCAATGAAGTGGAACATGATGGTTAAAATGACTGAATTAGACCCCATGTGACAAATAAGGAAGCAGATTGCAGTGGTTCTGGCCAGAGCTTGGACTCTGGAGCCCAGCGGCCTCTGTTCAGTGAGCTCTTTAACCTCTCTGGGTGGGCCTCAGTTCCCTCATCTGTAAAACGGACATAACGACAGAACTTGGAGTTGCTGTGGGGATCAATGAGTTCATATTTGCACAGTACTTAGAACAGCGCCTGGCGGGTGGTGAGCCATAAGGATTAGCAAGAAGGAAGTTGGGAAAAATCATGCCAGACAATGTCACAGGCCGTGTCCAGACAGAGGAAAGCCATCCAGACACTGGGAAGAGATGACAAGCCACCAAACTCAGGCTGGTGGTTTCCTCTGGGGCAGAAAGAGGAGATAGATGCAGGGATATACAAGGGCCTTCAGTTATATGTACTTTAAAAAAAAAAAAGTGGCATAATCATGGCAGCACTATTTTATTTCCTGATTCCTCTTTTGAGCACCCCGGCTCCCAGCACCTGGCTCTAGTCCCCGAATTTAGTCCATCACTTGATTTCCTGTCCCCCTCTCTGGCATGGTGGTGAAGAACAGGGTCAGAACGTGGCCCCTGGTGGAGCCCGGTGTGAGTTCTGGGGGTGCCCAGAACAAGGCCATCCTGTCCTGGAACTGCGGGAATGATCCTTGTCACCTCTTAGGGCCACTCTGAGCCTTAGCAAGAGGGGTCTTTGTGAACTGGGAAGACCTTTCAGGCATGAGCCGTTCCGTCACTTGATACCGTGGGCTGAGGAGGAGGAAGGCAGGTGGTGTGGACAGGTGTGCCCCATGTGCAGGGCCTGGTGTGGATTGTGACTGGACAGGCAGGCCCTGCCTAAAGCTGCGGCCACTTGGTACCTGAGCTCATGTGCCCACATGTGCTAAGGGCTCAGGGAAGGCACAACCTGCAGACAGTGGTGGCCTCGGAGGGACTCCTGGTGGACGCACTGCCACGCGCCCTTCCCTGGGCCCCTCAGCTGCACGTCCCCGGGCCCCAGACCCCAGACCCCAGCAGTGCCGAGGCCCTCAGGTCATGACCTTTGCCTCTTCACCCCAGCGAAGGGGAGTGGGACTTCTACTGGTGTGACGTCAGCTGGCTCCGGGAGAACTTTGACCACACCTACATGGACGAGCACGTGCGGATCTGTCACTTTCGGAACCACTACGAGGTGAGCTGGGCAGGTCAGAGGCACCCACCCCACCAACTCAAGTTACAGGGTGTGGTGACGAGGAGGAGCTTGTTTGGGTGGGACAAGGACCAGAACAGAAAAATATAAGGGGATGATGGGGTGTACGCCAGGTGGGGGACGTGAGGCCTAGGTATCTGGCAAGCTCAATGGTTAGAGGTTGTGAGGATCTAAAGCCTGAGGAGCAGTCTGTTTGAGGATGCAGAGTTAAGGACACAGGCTATGGGGGGCAGGCTGGTTTGGGGGTGCAAGGAGCAGGAGTTTTGGGGGACTTCAGGGTGCAGGCAAGCTGAGAAGTTTGGGGTCCAGAGGTAGATTGGAGGTCTGGAGGGAACCTGACCTCAAAGAGACCTGGAGGACCAGTGGTGAGGGATTTAGAATGTTAGCGTAGCTGGCGCGCACCTGTAATCCCAGAGACTTGGGAGGCTGAGGCAGGAGGATCGCAAGTTCAAGGCCAGCCTCAGCAATTTAGGCCCAAAGCAGCTTAGCATGACCCTGTCTCAAAATAAAAAAAATAAAAAGGGCTGGGGATGTGTCTCAGTGGTTGGGCGCCCCTGGATTCAATCCCTAGTACCAAAAATAAATAAAAAATAAAATGTCAGTGTGGCTTAATGGTTAATAAATACAAACTTCCGAGTCAGAAAAGGCCGGATCAAACTCTGGATGTGCCACTTGTTCGTTGGCGCCCTGGGCCACCAGCTGCATTCTGCCCTGCCTCAGTGTTCCTGCCTGGGACGTGGGACAATCATAGACTAGAGGCTCTTGGTCTGGGTTGCTCTGACTGTTCCTGCTATTTTGTGGCCAGGAGGGGAGGCTGGGGGTGTGCTGGGTGGCAGGGCTGGGGTCAGGAGCTGGGGCCGGGCAGGAGCTGGAGGCTCACCCAGCCTGCCCACTGCTGCCCAGCTGACCCGCAAGAACTACATGGTGAAGAACCTGAAGCGCTTCCGGAAGCAGCTGGAGCGCGACGCGGGGAAGCTGGAGGCGGCCAAGTGCGACTTCTTCCCCAAGACCTTCGAGATGCCCTGCGAGTACCACCTGTTTGTGGAGGAGTTTCGCAAAAACCCGGGGATCACCTGGATCATGAAGCCTGTGAGTGCCTGGTGCAGGGGCCTGGGGGAGGGAGTCAGCGGGGATCCTGGGAAGCCCCAGACACCCGAACAGGGACCGGCTCTGCCTGGGTGATCTGCTAGGAGCACTAACTGCCGTCCCTAAAGGGCCACTTGAGTTCCTTTTCTTGGCAGTTCGTAGAGCCAGTGGCTGTGACTGCTCGCACGTAGTAGGTGCTCAATAAGCATTTATTGAATGCACAAATGGTCATCAGGACAAGGCAGGGGTCCAGAGCCCTTCTTCCTAACGTGGAAGAAAGCAGTGGGTGAACCAGCCAAGTGCTTTACTGCCCATCAGCCTTGGGGTGGGCCTCACCAGCCCCATTTTAAGGATGGAGAGCCTGGGGCCTGTGTATTCAAGCATCCCACAAATGCTCACTGGGCCTTTGCCATGTGCCAGGCACAGACTTAGGCCCAGGGAATTCGGCTCTCAGCAAGTCAGACGTGGTCTCTGCTCTCTTTGAGGATGGACAGTAAGCCAGCAGAGGATACATGTGTTGTGTGATTACGGTGTGTTGAGTGTCACTAAGGAGAATGGGTGCAATGGCATACACCTGTAATCCCAGTGGCTTGGGAGGCTGAGGGGGGAGGATCATGAGTTCAAAGCCAGCCTCAGCAAAAGTGAGGCGCTAAGCGACTCAGTGAGACCCTGTCTCTAAATAAAATTCAAAATAGGGCTGGGATGTGGCTCATTGGCCAAGTGCCCCTGAGTTCAATCCCCGGTACCAAAAAAAAAAGAAGGAGAATGGTGTCAGGAGAGGGAAAACAGGGGTGGGACCTCCCCAGCCAGGCAGCTACTGAGAAGAAGTGAGAGATTGAGATCTGAGGCCAAATCCCCTTGGTTCAAACACTAGCCATCCCACTTACTGTGCAGCCTCAGGCAGATTACTCAACTTTCCTGTGCCCCAGTTCCCCATCTGCAGAGTGAGAAGAACTGTGATTCCTATTGCAGAGTATTGTGCAGTAGACAAGTTAATGCATATAGTACCTGCTCTATAAATGATAGTCATTATTGTGACTATAATAATTAGTCTTGATCTCTGAGCTGAAGGATGCCTGGGAGTCAGCCTGGAGAAAGGCGGAGGTAGGGAAGAGCATGCCAGCAGAGGGGACTGCATGTGTGAAGCCTTGCTCTCGACAGCCCTTCCAGGGTCAAGAAACAGGGCAAGATGGCGCTCAGCCCTTCCTGTGCCAGGGCTATCTCTCGGCTACATGCCACCTGTTAGTCAGCTTTTCATTGCTGTAATAGGACTACCTGACGTGACTTCGAGGAAGAAAGGTTTATTATGGCTCATGGTTTCAGAGATTTCAGTCTGTGGTCAGAGGCCCTATTGCTCTGGGCCTGAGGTGAGGCAGAATCAGACTATCACACCAGCCAGATGCAGTGGCTCACACCTGTAATTCCAGCAGCACTGGAGGCTGAGGCAGGAGGTTCCCAAGTTTAAGGCCAGCCTCAACAACTGAGCAAGACCCTTTCTCAAAATTAAAAAAAAATTAAAAAGGTATAAGGATGTGGCTTGGTGGTATAGTTCTACTGCACTTGCATTAAAAATGTATGTGTGTGTGTGAGTGTGTGTTGTGTGTGTGTGTGTGTATGTGAATGAAGGCTGTGGCAGACGAAAGCTGCCTAGCTCATGGCAGTCAGGAAGGAGAAAGGAGAGAGAGGAGAGGAGGCAAGGGACAAGGTACCATCCCCAAGGGCCCGCACCAGTGACCTTCTTCCTTCAATATGCTGTAGTTACTACCACCTCTCTGTAGTCCATTCAAAATACTAATCCACCAAATGGATTAATCCACTGATGAGACCAGATCCCTCATGATCCAGTGGTTTCCCAAAGCCCCACCTCTGGACATTGCTGCAGAGATTTTGGGGGACATTCCAGATCCAAATCATGACACCACCAAAGCCTCAAAGGGCATCATCAAAGCCCCTTGAGAAGGCGCCAGGCTTCGGGAAAGGAGCTGGGTGTGAGGAGGTGTGAGCAGCCTTCCCGTGGAGCAGAAGAGCGTGGCTCAGTGTTGGCTGGCGTGGACGGAGTCAGCTGGCATGGGTGCCTGGAGGGGGACCCAGTGCAGGGCACAAGGGATGCCTGATGTACCCAGACCCTCTCACCACCTCTGCTCCTGGGAGGCACGGTGAGGCGGCTGGGGCTGGAGGAGGAGGGATTAGGCAGATGAACAGTGACACCCACCAGGGGCAGAGTCGGGCTCCCAGCATTATCCTCTCCGACAAATGATAATTTGTGCTAATTGGGAATGAGCAATTGCATATTAGGTTGATTCCTTTCCCGGCCCACGGCCTTTGTTAGCGGCAGACACAAGACAGCTGTAATTAAGGGGCGGCTTCTTGGCTGTGCGTCTTCCGCCCTGAAGAGCCGAGGCGCACTGCACTGTCTGTGGGGGAAGAGCGGTGCGGTAGTGGGCGTGGCCTGGAGGGTGGCAAGGCTGGTGGGCGTGGCCGGGGAGAGTAGCAGGGCTAGTGGGTGTGGCCGGAGAGAGTGGTGCTGCTAGTGGGCGTGGCCGGGAGGGTGGCACGGCTGGTGGGCGTGGCCAGGGAGAGTAGCAGGTCTAGTGGGCGTGGCCGGAGAGAGAGGTGCTGCTAGTGGGCGTGGCCGGGGGCCAAATTCTGAATCCACCCCTTCCCCCTGCGTGACCCCAGCAGGTTTCAGCCCCGGCCAGTCCACTTTCTCATCTGTAAACTGGGACTGAGCGGACCTGCCCAACGGGGTAGTGGAGAATTCAATGAAGCTGTGCATGTTATATCCATGCATCGCCCAAATTCTATCAAGGGCTTGGCATGAGGTGCCCAATAATTGTCTCACTTTTCTTCTTTCCAAGAGTCCGGGAAACACCCCTCTTCTTCCTGCCAAGAGGAAGCACTAGGGCAGTGTTTCTCAAACTTTCTGTGTCCCCGCATCCCTTAGGGATCTGGAGAACATGCAGAGCCCAACTCAGCAGATCTAGGTGGGGCCTGAGAGGCTGTGTCCAGGGGATGCCAACACTGCTGGTCCCTGGTCCCCAGGTGACACTTTGGTGAGGCTGGAAAGAAGCTGATCCTAAACTGGGGCATGACAGACTCTGGCAGAGGCCGGTACATCGCGCCCACCTGAGTGGCTGACCCCGGAGGCCTGGGCAAACCTGCGAGCAAATGTGCTGCTGTCAAGTCCCCCAGGTATCAGCCTGCGCAGTGTGCAGAAACCGAAGCCCAGGGTGTGTGTGCGCGCTTAAGGAACTGACTTCTGCAATGTTGTGAGGGCCACAAGTCCAACATGTACAGTCCAGGCCAGCAGACTGGAAGCTCAGGCAGGATTTTTGTTACAGTCTTAGGTAGAATCTCTTCTTCTCCAGGGAGCCTCGGTTTTTGCTCTTAAGCCTCCAAGGGCTGGTTGAGCCCCGCCCACATGGAGGGCACTATCCTCTACTTAAAGTTACTAATTACAGATGTTCCTCACATCTGCAAAAAAACCTTCAGAGCAACACCTAGACTAGTGTTTGACCAAACAATTAGGCAGCAGAGACTCACCGGGCTGATGCATAAGATGAAAGGTCACACCAGGTATGAGGGCTCTTCTGCTCCAGTGGCCCTCTGAGAACCAGGGGCCTGGAGTGTTAGTTCTGGCTCTTATTATTTGGATACTACTGGGGAGAAGAGAATGGTAAAAGGTAGAACACTACTTTAAATTTGGGAAACAGATGTCCCCTGAGACCCTCTGCTCTTCCCATAAGGCCTGTTGTTGTGACCTAGTTGGTCCTTGTCCACTCACAGGCAGAAGTTCTCAGGGGGTTGCTGTGGCCAGGCCAGTCTCTGGCAGCCCTGTCCTTCCAAGTCCTCCCTGCAGTTTCCCTGGAGCCTGTGACCCTTCATTTTCCTCTGCAGGGAGGGGTGGCAGAACAGCCAGGGAGGGGACAGGTTGGATCAGAAAGGCCGGGACAGCATTGTCCCCCAGTGCCGCTCTTCAGGGACCCTCTTCCCGTGGGGCTGGAGCCCAAACCATCTCCCAGCTTTGCTGTCAATCTTGGAGAGAATAAGAACAAACAGGTCTGACCATTAAAGTCCAGCCTAGGACTCAGTGGCCACCTGTTGCCGAGTATGTGCAAGGCCCCAGGTTTGATTCCTAGCACAGGGGGAAAAAATGTCCAGTCTAGTGTAAAAAGCACGTGAATGCACATCCTTTTTCCTACCTGAGCATTCTGCCCTCCTCGCAGCTTTGGCCTGTGGGGTGTGGGAGGTGGCAGGGCGCAGACCACATGGCCTACTCCCACTGCTCCCGCCTCTCTGTGGTGCTGGGTGGTCAGGGACCAGCCTGTCCATCAGTCTGTGTGTCCACCAAGCCCTTTTCACAGGGCTGTGGGTATCCCTGGTGACCCTGGGCTGTTCTTTGCTCAACCCACCAGCAGGAAGAGCTGCATTTGAACATTCAGTTACACTGTGTGCACCAAACAGAGCATCTCAAACTGCTCCGCCAAATCCTCTCAGAGTTGGGATGCTTTGGTCAGCAAATAGTAGAAAACCCAACCTACATGGCTTACTGGAACAAGAGGGTGGGGCTTCTGAACTGTTTTAATGCCTCGGACTTTTTGACATTTGGTGAGATATAAGAACAGTGTTCCTATGTAAAATCGCATTTGTGTGGGGCTGGGGTGTGGCTCAGTGGTAGAGCACTTACCTAGCACATGTGAGGCACTGGGTTCCATCCTTAGCACCACATAAAAATAAACAAACAAAATAAAGGTATTGTGTTCATCTACAACTAAAAAAACTAAATAAATCACATTATTGAGATCTGATCAACATGAAATCTGCACACATTTGATGTACATAGATGAATGAGCTCGAACCTGAGTATGTACAGTACATATCCATGAAAGACTAGGTTTGTTTTGTTTTTTAAGGTACTGGGAATGGAACCCTGGGGTGCTCTACCACTGAGCTTCATCCCCAGCCCTTTTGATTTTTTTAGTGAGACTCTGTCTCACTAAGTT